TCTTAAATTATAAAAGTGTTTTGTAAAACTTTAATAATTAATATGGTTTCATTATGTTATTTAAATTATAAAAGTATTATGTAACAAATTTAATAATTAATATGGTTTCATGTTGTTAATTAAATTATAAAAGTGTTATGTAACATATTTAATAATTAATATGGGTTCCTGTTGTTATGACATGTATCACTTGGCTAATAGGGACATCAGTGCAAGTCCGCGAATTTTATCGTGACGAAGAATTAAGAGATGTCCCTGGCGCTGGTTTAGGTCTTGGACATTTCATAGGTGACGACAGGGTAATAATTCAAATAAATAAATAAGTTCAATTTCATCAATGATTTATTTATCAAATTTACCAATTGTGTTAGTAATACGCTTTGCAAATTTACCTGAAATTTATAATTGCTAGATTGCGTAAATTTAATTTAATTTTTAATGTCTCGCTTAATATTTCCATTCCTTACAGAATAGAAAAAAAATGTCGATTTGTCCAAGATATACAAGATGAAAAATCTGATGTGTACACCACATGACTTCCTTGTACGGAATATTAAATTATACGCATTTTTTTCTTGCATTTCATTTAACTTATTAGATTGAATTAAACCTACTTCTCCGACAGCGCATAAACCACAATAGAATAAATGCATTCTTTAAAATTCACTTTGTTTACCATAGCGACACTCTGGCGCTAGGTTTACTTAACAGTATTATATTTCGTTCATATTATAACTCAGAATGCACAAAATTTATATCATTTAAAGAATTATCTAATCGTTGCCACATGTTCTATTCAAATACTATAACAAAGCTAGAATGATGTATAAAAGAAATTAAGCAAACAAAACGAAAAAGAAACAGTTTTTCTCAGACGATTGAGTATTTCTCATTCAATTAATTCAGTTTTCACTTCGCAACAAGGCAAAAATACATAAAAACTCAAAATATCTGTATTAAAAATTACGAAGTAAATCTTAAATACTTATTTTCTCGAAAAAATTCCAGAAAGGATTAAGAATGATTTAATTCGTAATAATAAATGAAGGCGTTATTTTTGTGTTGCGAAGCTTAGTGTCTCTAGATTGGCAACAAATCTACAATTCTGCTGTTTCAAATGTAAACAAATATGTCCACCATGTTATTTAAAACTTAACCGCACTTAGACAGCTTTCAAATTGTTGATAATTGTACAAATATTGCTTCCAGAATTACGAAAGGCATAAGAACTTTAACGGGAAGATCAAAACAACATAATTCAATCATTTTTAAAACAAAAAATGTACAATTTACAAACATATAAGAGTAAAGAAACTGAGATCACTAAACCGGGTAACAGAGTGGATATATTTATATGCATTTGGCGGGGCCGATTGAAACCAAAATACGAGGTGCACATCTACATGTTATAGTAGCCTTATATACAAAATTTCAACGTTCTGAGGCTACTCGTTTTTGAGTTATCCGAGATACGTACGTACGCACGTACATACGTTCGTACAGACGCCACGAAAAATTCTCTTCAGAATTCATTTTAAAGCAGTTTTTTAGTTTTTTTTTGGAGGAAAAGAGTCTTTTATTCTGTCCTTACGTATAGATATTACGCAAAAACATCGTTAAATTGCATTCGAAAGCGGTCAAAGTGGATATTTTCGTTGAAATCTGCTGCCTGAAGCTTTTCGCGATTACAATACTTCCTTTTTACTTCGTACAAGGAAGTAAAAATATGTAAAACAATATTCCAACTTAATATGATATAGTCTGTCAACTCTGCGCTTTTTAATTTGGTTGCTTTTTACAATAAAGTTAGTAACTGCTTTTAATAAATTTATCTTAATTACGTCATTTCAAAAGTAATTCTTGTCATATGATTCTTACATAACGCTAATGACGTATGCTCTTACATAGCGCTTCAATCTATAGTAATGTTGGAATTTGTAAAGAATCGGTGCATGTTCTTGCGCTGTCTTAGTATTGTACCTGTCTTGTAAAGAACTGTTTTGTGAAGAAATAAAGTGTGTTAGTGTGATATGATTGCTGCAACATCTTTATGCATGTATACATAGCCGATATCTAAATTATTACACACACATATATGTATATGATGTTGTAGTTTAGAGGATCGCAGTCATGTACGTTTTCACTTTTTAGTCATGGTCGGAGTGGTAATCGGTATGACGTGCAATACAGACGGCGTAATAGATGTCGTAAACTCTTAAAAGAACCATAAAATCCTTGGATGAGAACATTATATCTTTATTACTGGATTACGCTGTTCAGACATATTGAGTAGCAGAGCATAAAGGAGCAATCTGCTCCCAAAAAGTTTTAAGTGTGCACTTACATTTTCTTCAGCAGTACAGAAAGAAGACGAAGCGAGAGATGTGATTTATTCAAACAGGCGAGAAAAAGTAATGCGTAACTAACTGCGGTCGTAACACAAAGCCGAAAAGTCTTTGTGTTAATCCTGAGCAGCCAGTTGGGCCAAAGACGTTGCAGTGCAGAGTATTGTAGGGAACGAGCGACGTAACATCTTTCAGAATGACGAAAAACGGTGCACAGCGTATCGTTGAGGAGGAGATGTGCTTAATTAAAATTAATGCATTTGAAGGTCTGTTGTCATTTGGTCCCAATTAAGTTAAATAATTTTGTTTCATATTTTATACTTTACATATATATAATTAAAATCAAGATAAATTCAAACCAAATTCAGATGTTACATTCAGTGTTGCAATAAAAAATGAATTGGCATAAAAGTTGTGACTGTATCAATTGTTATGAAAAGAGTCAAGTACATGAAGCTAGATATATATTTTCACAATCTTCATGTACTTACTTTTTGCTGCAATAAATTGGTACACTGGTTTATTTACGTTTTTGTACCAATTACTATATTGCCAAATTGAATGTGATATTTGAATATATTTTGATTTTAATTATTAACCTCTGAATTACTGCAGCTTACTGCACTTAATTTTTTTTTTAAACTTAATGTTTTATTTTACATTTGGAGCCTATTGAAATGTATAAGTATTGCATTATGTAATGTATAAGTATTGCAATCCGGAGATATAAAATTCCGTTGATGCCAGACTGGTTTTTTACATATAAAAATGCTATTTAAAACTTTTCAAATTATGTTAAAAACCAAAACTAGCAAAGTTTGCATTCAGGAACGCATTTAAAGAATAAAAAACGTGGGAAAGAAAATGAACAATTTCTTTCCATGCAATATAATTAACTCTACTGTTCGTGAGATTAAACAGTCTAGTTTTCTTAGTCTTCTTTTCTAGTTTCTTGTCTCTAATTAAGATGTTCAATTATGATGCCATTGTTCAGATGTTTTTTTAAGTTCAGCTCTATACAATAATGGTAATAATAATCAACAAATGACTCGAAACAAAAATTAGTATCATAAACACAATGAAATATTAGAGGAGACAGCATAAATTTAATATTATGGCATCTTGAATTTTGTATTATCTCTATTATTTTATCCACGTGCTCGTTTATATGCGGTTACAAAATATGAACTAATTATATAGATATTCGTTTTTTATAGATAGGAAAACATATAAATCAAAGAATTGCAAGGGAGGGAAATGGGTTGTTGTATGATAGCACAGTGCAGATTAGAAATCACCAGATGTATGTTTGAAAGTCCTTAACTTAGCCTTATCAAAAGATATGTGACTAAATTTATAATAAATTCTAAGTAAGAGCATGAGGTATTTCTTCCGCCTTCTTAGCATGCCTCCGTAGTGTAGTGGTCAGCACGCTCGACCCGTATTCCAGAGGTCTGTGTTTCGAGTCCCGGCGAGGCATTCCTCATTTTTCACATCTTTCCTGCTTTGAAATAACCTAATGTCTCTACAGTGGCGCCCGAACTAAAAAAGTGGTGAATAATGATTCTTCACCGTCAGGATTTGGCGATTGGGTTCCCTAAAACCTTAGTCTCCCTTTAAAAGGAGGAGTATATAAGGTATTTCTCCCGCCTTCTTAGCATGCCTTCGTAGTGTAGTGGCAGCACGCTCGACGTGAATTCGAGAGGTTCGTGGTTCAAGTCCCGGCGAGGACATTGCTCATTTTTCATCTCTCCTGCTTTCAAAAATACCTAATAGTTCTACAAGTGTTGCTTCATACAACATAATTAATCTGAAAGAAAATGTAGAAATGTATTATAATTAAATTAGGTTACCTCTATTAAACTAACTTTTGGTCTCCTGTCATTGTGTTCTTCGCCCTTAAGTATCCCGAAATTATTTTTTGATTGGCTAATACACAAGTACTTGAAAATTTGCTTTGCTATTCATGACACTAATGTTATAAAGCATTAGAACGCTTCTCACATAAGCTATTCTATAACAACTATCACCTATTTTGAGTTAAAACTAAAGCAAGTCTTATTATATGTGATAGCGTAAATTGTGGATGTTAATCTGCAGTTCATTAACTTATATTTGGAGTTCAGAATAAGTTTATATCAAGGTCTTTGTAACGTGATATGAACAATTATATACTAGTTTGTCATGATTTGTTTTCCAAATACAAATCCCCCCTTTAATAGTATAGAAAGACCCTATAGGTATCAAAAGTGCCTGGATGGATAAAACCACGGAACATTGTTGGTTTGACATGGTTTGGATACCTGATGATTCGAAATGGTTGGTAGCATGCAATGTTTCGGAAGATTTTTCCGTATATAAATTGATATAAATTAGTTTCTGTTAAGCCCTACATTAAGGCAACCATTTTTAAACAGATAAAGGTTTTAATGAGTTTATTAATTTAATGGAAATTAGTCCTCTCAGCATGCTAATAAAATTTGTTATTATGATGAGAAAAATAGTATAATTTGATCATCAGTGTTTGTTTAAAAATTTAGCAGCAGGGATATTTTTTTTACATATTTTATTTTGCTAGAAAGAAAGTTTTTCTTTGATATGAATTGTAGAAATGTTAGAAATTAATTAAATCAAATCCTTTACTATTTTACAGGTTTCTGTACAAGAAAATAATGGTTGTGATGTAAATAATATCAAGCTTCCATTAACTTTGACTTCCAATGGAACTTATACTGATTTCTTAGAAAATACACTTTCTCCAACCAGAAATTCAGAGAAAGACGGAGTATCCAATAGGCTGCCATGGAACCAGATTGAATCCGAAACTCTGATGGCTGCTCCAGCTTCTCCATTGAAAATAAAGTTTCCTGAAGCCGGCTATGCCGTCATCAAACGTCGCACTAAAGTCGCCAAGGGTGTTCAAACCGATGAGACGCGAAAGCGTTGTTGGCGGCACAGTCGTGGTGTCACGGCGACAGAAAAATTTTATCAAGAGAATCAAGAGGTAAATCAAGGGACACTGACTCGTTGCCAAAGCGCGAAAAACGAACTTGCGCATCAAATTGCATCTTCTAAGTCAACTTTACGTAATGCACTTCCTCACGTAAACTTCTCCAGATGGTCAAGGCCGAACAAGGTAAGAGAATAAGAATTACCTTATATATTCTTTTAATTTCTTTTAATTCCCTCCCTTTCTTAGCCGTCAAAGCCAGATAAAAAAAGGAATGGGTAACTCACAAACAAAAGTTTTTTTTCATTCAAACGTTTTCCTGAGGTAACAGAAGTAGAAAAACATAGTGAACTTTTTAAAAAACTAAAATCCACGATTCCATATATTTTTGGTCTCCTGTGTAGGTGATTGTCTTAAAGAGGCAATGTTTAATACTGATCTTTGTATTCTCAAAGATTTTTAGGGAAGATTGTGATCACTAAAGAGTTTACTCTAGGTTACTGAAACTTTTGTTTTTATTCTATAGGTTACAAAATTTTAAAAAAAAGTCTCGCGACGAACTTGCATCTGGTATGAAGGAGCCTCAACTTCAGATTCATCCAGTACATTATCATTAGATTTAGGCATACCTCTAGTTTGTTCACAGAAGAAGAATTTAATTTTCAGTGCGCTATATTTTTCTTTTTTAATTTACTCCAACACTCAGTATTTCTAGTATTGGTGTCTGATAGTGGACATCGTTTTCACACGACAGAAATTAAATTCACTTTTTAAAAATCCTGTTGCGTTATTTCTTATTAAAGTAAATATAATAATGCGTGGTAATTTAATAGACAACATAACCGCTTTATTCTAATTGCTATCAATTAGTCACTGCAGCATTATGGACCCCTACGACAGTTACACAAGAAATTGATAGTAAATCGTCGATAATATTAAGTATATATTTATTGAGTTAGAATCTTACCTTAGCTTAGAGTCGGAACAAGCGTGAGGCAGAGAAGCACTTGCCTCAGGTGAATAACTAGAAGGGGCTCCAAATTAGCTACGAAAATTTTGAAATTCATTTTTTAGGAAAGAAATTACAATTATTTAATTTAAACTTTGGAATACGTTAAGGAGTATCAAAAAAATTTTCTGTTACAAAACAATTCAGCTGAACCAAGAGAAGAATGAATAAAGTTAATTTCTCAAAACTGCTGATCTTTTACAGCAGTATATAAATTATTTTCTAACATTAAAATTTATTGTTGGAACTAATGTTGTAAGGATCTTAAGTTTTACTAACGTTTATTTTTATTTTAAATCTTTACTATCACTTCTTATTTTCTACTTCCGGCCAGAATTAAAAGCTTTAACTTATTTATGCAAATTTGTCTGGCGAACGCCAAGTACTTAAGTTGTGGCTTTTTGCCAAGCAAGAGAGAGGAAGGAGTTAGGAGAAGCAGGCCGCTTGCCTTAGCAGTTTTACTCGGTTGCTGGTTGTCTTCCAGGCCAGAGGTTTAATCCTCTTGATAATTTTAAACGTATTGTAGTGTTAGCAGTTCTCTGTACTACATACGGCTTCCTGTTAATATACGGCCAATCTTCCACGTAGGCCCTTGTTTATTATTTCAAAGTTAAGTTAGAGTTTAGTTAATATTTTTATATTCTTACGTTCAGACCACAAGTGGTTGGTCTCTGTATTCTGAAGTACGGAAATCATTGTAAAGAGTGAAAAATAAAGGGTTTCGTATACCCTTCCTGTGTATCTTGTCTACTTCCCACATTTATTGAACATAGCTTTAGTAAGCTCCCTGTTCCGAGTCAGGTTCATGAATGTTCCCCAAGCAAGTAAGGCGGAACATTGAATCTGATAATGTATTGAGGCTAATTTGTTCACGTATATGTATTGCACAAGCTAAACTTTCCTACAAAGCATCATGCTACTAACATCAGTAATTCTGTACTATTTCCCTTTTAATTTGGACTATAAGTCTTATTTTTCTTAGTTCGCCGTAAGTCTGATAACTGAATATGGACGACGAAACTGCCTGTAGTTTTTTGCAACAGACTTATCACATAAAACTTATTGGAATAGCATCGGGAGGCTAAATAAGGACGTTTAAAAATAAAATACATATCACATTTTCAATAGTTTGTCTCATTGTTTTTTGTGCGTAAAATGTATTATTGAATAAGATGCTTAGTTCTAGGTTTTGCCGTTTTGTATTGATATTTAATTTGCGCGAAACTGTAAAGTTGGTTTCGCTTACAGTTATCTTAGGAGCAGTTACAGATTATTAAATAGTCTGGCACATTCTTCTCTAAAAAATACTCTCAATTACCACCTTTGAAATGCTAACCATAATTGTTATCAATTTTATCACAATATTACACACAGGATCGGACTATGTCCTGGCACTTGTATGACCTGACCTACTCATTTAAAGTCATTCTCTGAAAAGACTGGAATGTAAACATATAAGAAAAGACAATATTTTTCAATCTTTCTCGCTCTCTCTATTTATTTTTTTTGAGTTGATCTATTGTTTATAATAAAAACATAAAATGAATTGTTTAGTACGAGTACCAGTTTTTTTTTTTTTTTTTTTTTTTTTTTTTTTTTAAGGCAATAATTTTAAGTTCTTTGTGAAAGATTTAAAAAAAATATTCTGACTATTTCTAGTGTAACTGATATTGATATAAAAGAACATGTCTTAAAAAGCTTAGTTTCTCTCTTTTTATTCTGAAATAACGGACAAAAAGAATATATTAAAAAGATATGCTTCTTGGGAAAGAAATTTTAAAAAACGTAGTTTTTGAAAAAAAAAATGAAACCTGAAGAAAGAAGAGAAAAACAACGAACGCTATAAAGTGACAGATTTAAACTGAAATAAAAAAAAAATAAATAAATTAGGCCAAAAATTAGACATTAAATTTGTTTATTGGTGCGAACAGAAATTAACAAAAGCACCTATTTGCGAATTTTAATACACTGAAGTACGCAGAATTAACTGATGAAGCGGAGTAAAGTAAAGGGAAAGCACGAAGTGACATTAAATCTTAATGACTTTGGAATAATGCTTATATTATAGAAATATGATAATAAGTTATAAAATTTTATTTTTCAGCCTCTCAATTGATCATATTTAAAACAGAATTAGTTGGCATATTATATTGTGCTCAAGTTCAAATTTTTTACAATAAAAATTCATTCGTCTGATGAAAGATATGCTTTTTTTTAAAGACTAATACTTTAATCAATCGATTACAATAAAACATGTGAGGTTATTTTGTTTGGGGGGGGGGTTATGCTTTCGTGAAGAATATATCAATGAAACCATCTCATACTCAAGCTACCACATGTGGAAAGTTCGAAAGTCGCGAACCCGTTCACCATGAATCGTACCAGGACTGGGGGCCCACCAGCGGCCGAGCGGTAAAGTCGCTGAACACTGGTAGTTCGGTCCGAGGTTCGAATCCCACGAACGGGCTGGCTGCATGGGTGTTTTCGTGGTTTTCCCCATGTGTAACGTGTAAACGAGCCAGCTTAGAAAGTCCTCCACGAAGGCATCCCATCCCTTGGGCAGATAGCCCTCGAAGCTTTGCCGTAATTAAATAACCTAACCTAACATACCAGGACTGGTTGCCAGTGTTACCCGCTCGGACATTTGCGAGCACGAATTTTAGCCAAAACACAACGAATTCGAAAACTGAATGAGGATTTCAAAGATTGCATCTGATCACTGCATTGGGACCTAAATATTCGTAAATTTTTGAAAGAAAAGTCTCCAATCCATTAAATTGATCATTGTGGATCTGACAGCAAAATTTTCTGCAAGTAACACTGATCTCCAGATCTTACTAATGTTCTTGGAAGCATTTCTGCTGAGAACATGGTAAATATATCAGATAGTTCCAAATGTTTTCGCCCTTACTGTTAAAAGAAAAATTTAGCAGTCCCCCTCCTGCACCATGATCTCTCTATACTTCGATACAGTTTTCACGTTTAGTAAGCAGCTCTTTGCCACTGAAAAAGTAATTTGAATGTTTGACTTCAAAATGTTCCATATCTGTTCTTTTAACGCCATCATCATCATTAAATCGCTAAGGTCTTAGTTTTGTGTAGAGAACAGTTAATAATTACTTGAAGCTAAATCTGGGCTGTAAAGCGAAGTCAAGCTCCTTTAAGTCCACGTTGCTAGTTTTGAAAGACTGAAAGAAGTCAGAGTAGCTGACTGGTTAAGTGACCCATCTTGCAGAGACTTTGCTCGTGTGAAGTGTTCATGCGGAATGCGCAAAAGAGTTTCAGATAGATCCAATCTTGTTGCTGTCTCGCGCACATTTAATCTCCTATTACTCATTATTTCATCCAAGACCATGCGCAGTATTTTCTGATGTCAATGCTACCAATGATCGACCTTTACAAAAATCATCATTTAAGGATTCTGGACAAATGCGAAATTGTTTTTCCAAATCTATAACTATAGAGTTGAAAGATTAGAAGTCATATACACTATACACTATATACATGATCCAAACGTTACTTAATTTTTTTTTTAAGTTTCTAATCAAAATTTGAACCTAAAAAAATATGCAATTTTAAACTTTTTTAAACAAATTAGCTCATTACTTCCCTCCCCTCCCCCCGAACTGTGCCAAACATATACAGGGGCGAGCATTTACCTCTTTGCCTCGGATAAAAAATATGCAGACACGAATCTGTCCTAGCTATCAGTAACTTACATTTTAACACATCATATATAATTTTGATTTTAGATTACATACAATTAATTTAAATGTCAAATGTATTTTTAATAATGGCAAATCAATTGGCTTACACAGCTTAGCATGGGCCCTCTATGTTCGTGAGCCCCTTCGGCATGTACCCAGCGGTCCCATGAGCTAAGGTGTCCCTGAAAACAACTATTATATAAGTCCATTTTCTCATACTCATTTCTGGAAAGGGTCGTAACTTTGCTCGGAATGCGTTGTGCATATAATAAATATTCCATCAAATGAATTATAAATTTTTTCCAGTTTTTAATTTTTTTATTGCAAAAACGTTCGCTTTTCTCATTTATAATAAATAAGAATGGAATCGAAAGGGAGGATAAAATTTCAGATTTTAATTTAAGAAGTATAATTTTTCAATAACATGATCTCTTAGAAAACTCAGAAAAACCCGGCGACGCGTGACTGAT